ATGCGATTCGCCACCTGGTTATCAGAAGGGGGAAAAGAGAAGATTAGTTGTGTGTCGTCAGCGTAGCAATGATGGGAGAGGCCATGTGAGGATATGACAGAGCCAAGTGACTTGGTGTAGAGCGAGAATAGGAGAGGGCCTAGAACTGAACCCTGGGGGACACCAGTGGTGAGAGCACGCAACTTGGTAGGAGCGACCTGTCAGGTAGGACGCAATCCAGGAGTGAGCTGCGCCGGAGATGCCCAGCTCGGAGAGGGTGGAGAGGAGGATCTGATGGTTCACAGTATCAAAGGCAGCAGACATGTCTAGAAGGACAAGAGCATAGTAGAGAGAGTTAGCTTTAGCAGTGCGGAGAGCCTCCGTGACACAGAGAAGAGCAGTCTCAGTTGAATGACCAGTCTTGAAACCTGACCGGTTTGGATCAAGAAGGTCATTCTGAGAGAGATAGCAAGAGAGTTGGCTAAAGACGGCACGCTCAAGAGTTTTGGAGAGAAAAGAAAGAAGGGATACTGGTCTGTAGTTGTTGACATCGGAGGGATCGAGTGTAGGTTTTTTGAGAAGGGGTGCAACTCTCGCTCTCTTGAAGACGGAAGGGACATAGCCAGCGGTCAAGGATGAGTTGATGAGCGAGGTGAGTTAAGGGAGAAGGTCTCCGGAAATGTTCTGGAGAAGAGAGGAGGGGATAGGGTCAAGCATGCTCTTCAATCGAATGTTGCTTGCACCCGCCCACCCGACTAGAATCACTACTCTCGGCGGGTCTGACTTAGAATATGTGGACAACTACAAATACCTAGGTGTCTGGTTAGACCGTAAACTCTCCTTCCAGACTCACATTAAGCATCTCCAATCCAAAGTTAAATCTAGAATCGGCTTCCTATTTCGCAACAACGCCTCCTTCACTCATGCTGCTAAACATGTCCTCGTAAAACTGACTATCCTACCGATCCTTGACTTTGGCGATGTCATTTACAAAATAGCCTCCAACACTCTACTCAGCAAATTGGATGTAGTCTATCACAGTGCCATCCGTTTTGTTACCAAAGCCCCATATACTACCCACCATTGTGACCTGTACGCTCTCGTTGGCTGGCCCTCACTACATATTTGTCGCCAAACCCACTGGCTCCAGGTCATCTATAAATCACTTCTAGGCAAATCCCCGCCTTATCTTAGCTCATTAGTCACCATAGCAACACCCACCCGTAGTATGCGCTCCAGCAGGTATTTCTCACTGGTCATCCCCAAAGCCAACACCTCCTTTGGCCGCCATTCCTTCCAGTTCTCTGCTGCCAATGACTGGAACGAACTGCAAAAATCTCTGAAGCTGGAGACTCTTATCTCCCTCACTGACTTTAAGCATCAGTTGTCAGAGCAGCTTACCGATCACTGCACCTGTACACAGCCCATCTGTAATTAGCCCACCCAACTACCTCATCCCCATATTGTTATTTATTTTGCTGTTGCACCCCAGTATCTCTATTTGCACATCAATCTCTCCAGTGTTAATACTAAATTGTAATTATTTTGCACTATGGCCTATTTATTGCCTTACCTCCATAACTTGCTACATTTGCACACACTGTATATAGATTTTCTATTGTGTTATTGACTGTACGTTTTGTTTATTCCATGTGTAACTCTGTGTTGTTGTTGTTTTTATCGCACTGCTTTACTTTATCTTGGCCAGGTCGCAGTTGTAAATGAGAACTTGGTCTCATCTGACCACAACACTTTCATCCAGTTCTCCTCTGAATCATTCAGATGTTCATTGGCAAACTTCAGACGGCCCTGTATATGTGCTTTCTTGAGCAGGGGGACCTTGTTACCAATTGTTTTCTTGGTGACTATGGTCCCAGCTGCCTTGAGATCATTGACAATATCCTCCTGTGTAGTTCTGGGCTGATTCCTCACCGTTCTCATGATCATTGCAACTCCACGAGGTGAGATCTTGCATGGAGCCCCAGGCCGAGGGAGATTGACAGTTTCTTCCATTTGCTAATAATCGCACCAACTGTTGTCACCTTCTCTCCAAGCTGCTTGGCGATGGTCTTGTAGCCCATTCCAGCCTTGTGTAGGTCTACAATCTTGTCCCTGACATCATTGGAGAGCTCTTTGGTCTTGGCCATGGTGGAGAGTTTGGAATCTGATTGATTGATTGCTTCTGTGGACAGGTGTCTTTTATACAGGTAACAAGCTGAGATTAGGAGCCCCCCCTTTAAGAGTGTGCTCCTAATCTCAGCTCGTTACCTGTATAAAAGACACCTGGGAGCCTGAAATCTTTCTGATTGAGAGGGGGTCAAATACTTATTTCCCTCATTAAAATGCAAATCAATTTATAACATTTCTGACATGCGTTTTTCTGGATTTTTGATGTTGTTATTCTGTCTCTCACTGTTCAAATAAACCTACCATTAAAATTATAGACTGATCATGTCTTTGTCAGTGGGCAAACGTACAAAATCAGCAGGGGATCAAATACTTTTTTCCCCCTCACTGTACATGGTTAAATAAAGGTTAAATAAAATAAAAAAGTAATACAAATTGACGAAACGTTGGTGGTTGCAGCGATGCGTCGCTCCAACAGCACCCTGGAGAGGCATGCTGGGAATGGACAACATAAATATTTTGCTTCCCTGCAAAGTGGGCACTGCTTATCACAGGGCGGCATCAAAGCTCACCTAAAAAGCCCATATATGGTTGAGAGAAATTGTTATTGTTTTTGAATTATGAGGTTTTATCTTGGTCAGTTTAGCTCAGAAAATGCCATCCTCATCAGTCTGCCAACATACAGTGGCTTGCGAAAGTATTCACCCCCCTTGGCATTTATCATATTTTGTTGCCTTACAACCTGGAATTAAAATGGATTTTGTATCATTTGATTTACACAACACGCCTACCACTTTGAAGATGCAAAATATTTTTTTTTTGGGAAACAAACAAGAAATAAGACCATAAAAATGAACTTGAGCGTGCATAACTATTCACCCCCCCAAAGTCAATACTTTGTAGAGACACCTTTTGCAGCAATTACAGCTGCAAGTCTCTTGGGGTATGTCGCTATAAGCTTGGCACATCTAGCCACTGGGATTTTTCAAGGCAAAACTGCTCCAGCTCCATTCAAGTTGGATGGGTTCCGCTGGTGTATAGCAATATTTAAGTCATACCACAGATTCTCAATTGGATTGAGGTCTGGGCTTTGACTAGGCCATTCCAATACATTTAAATGTTTCCCCTTAAAACACTAGAGTGTTGCTTTAGCAGTATGCTTAGGGTCATTGTCCTGCTGGAAGGTGAAACTCTGTCACAGTCTCAAATCTCTGGAACACTGAAACAGGTTTCCCTCAAGAATTTCCCTGTATTTAGCACCATCCATCATTCCTTCAATGGCTTTTTTCTGGCCACTCTTCCGTAAAGCCCAGCTCTGTGGAGTGTACGGCTTAAAGTGGTCCCATGGACAGATACTCCAATATCAGCTTTGCAGCTCCTTCAGGGTTATCTTTGGTCTCTTTGTTGCCTCTCTGATTAATGCCCTCCTTGCCTGGTCTGTGAGTAATGGATTTAATGGTGCTCTGTGGGATGTTCAAAGTTTTCAGATATTTTTTTATAACCCAACCCTGATCTGTACTTCTCCACAACTTTGTCCCTGACCTGTTTGGAGAGCTCCTTGGTCTTCATGGTGCCGCTTGCTTGGTGGTGCCCCTTGCTTAGTGGTGTTGCCGACTCTGGTGCCTTTCAGAACAGCTGTATATATATACTGAGATCATGTGACAGATAATGTGACACTTAGATTGCACACAGGTGGACTTTATTTAACTAATTACGTGACTTCTGAAGGTAATTGGTTGCACCAGATCTTATTTAGGGGCTTCATAGCGAAGGGGTGAATACATATGCACGCACCACTTTTCCGTTATTAATATTTTTGAGTTTTTTTTCATTTCACTTCACCAATTTGGACTATTTTGTGTATGTCCATTACATGAAAATCCCCATTTTTTTTTTTTTTTTTACATTACAGGTTGTAATGCAACAAAATAGGAAAAACGCCAAGGGGGATGAATACTTTTGCAAAGCACTGTAGGCAGGCCGGCCCTGAGTCTGAGGCTTGTGTTTCTATGATCTGTATACTGATTAATGGTATTTTTATTTATTTTGTATTATTGTTGTTTTCTGTGTGTTTGTTTGTTGTTGTTTTGTTTGTCTTTATGTTTTTTTGTAATTATTATTCCCCTGTGTCTGTTGTTTCTAACTTTGTTTTCTTATATTTGTGTATTTTTCTTACTCTGTAAAAGCCACACAAAAAAAGGCCAATCAGCAATCTCCTGTGACATGTGATCTCTAGAAACCATCAGTGCACAGATTCCTGAAGTGAAAGGATAATCCACATATTAAATAGCGGTGGACACATCAGGCATTATGAATTGCAGCATATGACCGTGATGCATTGTGTTAGGAATGCCTGGGACTGAGACACTGGACTGTTGTATAACTATTAACAACACCTACCCCTCTGCCTCTCCTCTTCCTTTGTGAGTGTGTCCCAGATAGCGTGATACATCGGGCTGATGTAGTGTAGAGAGCGTTTGCACAATGGCAAGATGTCGCCGAGACGTCGGCATTAGATCGCATTCGCCCTTCAGCCGCTGTTTGTCCGATGCTGCTTAGGGTTAGGGTTAGGGCTCTACAGACGACATTTAAAAATACCCTTTATTTGAGGTCGGATCCAACAGCAAAATACTGTTTCACTACACAATTCGAATTACCCTTACCCAAATGAGCGTAAACATCGAATTTGAATGGAAAATATAAGAACGATTATTAGCTCAGTTATAGCATTGTGACACAACATTTTGAACGTCTACACAATCTCTGTGATGCTGAGCGGCCATGTGACGGGTGCAACGCGCGTGCATTTCGACCTACCACACCCTCCCGCCGACCTTCTACATGGAACACGATCTACTAACGATATACACCAATGTCGGGCTGACGTCGGCGAGATGTATGTGTGCTGTCTGGGATGTGTGTGTGAGTGTGTGTGTTTGTTTATGTGTGTGTTTGTGTATCAGGAGTGGGAGAAGCTCAACTATGACATCCATACTCTGAGGTACATCAAACGAGAGATCAGCAGCCGGTGGAAAAAGATTCTAATACAGCTAGGTGAGATAAACTTAGTAGAGATAATCTCCTCGCTTCGTATCTCAACCTTTTTATTCCTTAGCCTTTTCCTGTCTATTCTCACTTCACTTCTGCTGCTCTCCTTCTCTATTTACATATTGCCTTCAGAAAAGTATTCACACATCTTGACTTTTTTCAGAAAAAGTAAAACCTGAATTTAAAATGGATTACATTTCTTGTCACGGGCCTACTCGCAATACCACATAATGTCAAAGTGGAATTATGTTTTTTTTTAGAAATGTTTATAAATTAATTAAAAATGAAAAGCTGTAATGTCTTGAGTCAATAAGTATTCAACCCCTTTGTTATGGCAAGCCTAAATAAGTTCAGGAGTAAAAATGTGCTTAATACGTTGCATGGACTCACTCTGTGTGCAATAATATTGTTTAACCAGAATTTTCAATAAGTACCTCATCTCTGTACCCCACACATACAATTATCTGTAAGGTCCCTCAGTCGAGCAGTGAATTTCAAACACAGATTCAACCACAAAGACCAGGTAGGTTTTTTAATGCCTCGCAAAGAAGGGCACATATTGGTAGATGGGTAAAGATTAAAAAAGCAGACATTGAATATCCCTTTGAGGATGGTGAAGTTATTCATTACACTTTGGATACACCCAATCACTACAAAGATACAGGCGTCCTTCCTAACTCAGTTGCCGGAGAGGAAGGAAACTGCTCAGGGATTTCACCATGAGGCCAATAGTGACTTGAAAACAGTTACAGAGTTTAATGTGATGGGAGAAATCTGAGGATGGATCAACAACATTGTAGTTACTCCACAATACTAACCTAATTGACAGAGTGAAAAGAAGGAAGCCTGTACAGAATAAAAACATGTAAAACTGCTAAATATGTGGCAAAGCAATTAACTTTAGGTCCTGAATACAAAGTGTTATGTTTGGGGCAAATCCAACACAACACATTACTGAGTACCACTCTTCATATTTTCAAGCATAGTGGTGGCTGCATCATGTTATGGGTATGCTTGTCATCGTTAAGGACTGGGGAGTTTTTCAGGATCAAAAAGAAACGGAATGGAGCTAAGCACAGGCGAAATCCTAGAGGAAAACCTGGTTCAATCTGCTTTCCAACAGAGATGAATGTACCTTTCAGCAGGAAAATAAACAAAAAAGCAAGGCCAAATATACACTGGAGTTGCTTACCAAGAAGAAAGTGAATGTTCCTGAGTGGCCGAGTTACAGTTTGGACTTAAACCTGCTAGAAAATCTATGGCAAGACTTGAAAAATGGTTGTCTAGCGATGATCAACAACCAATTTGACAGAGCTTGAAGAAGTCTTTAAAGAATAATGGGCAAATGTTGCACAATCCAGGTGTGTAAATCTCTTAGAGACTTAGCCAGAAAGACTCACAGCTGTAATCACTGCCAAAAGTGATTTTAAGATGTATTGACTCAGGGGGTTGAATACTTATCCTAATCAAGATATATTACTGTTTCATTTTTCATATTTTTATTTTTTTACAAAGGTTAGAATTTTCTTCCATTTTGACATTACAGAGTATTTTGTGTAGATTGTTGACAAAAAAGATGACGATTAAATCCATTTGAATCCAAAATGTGGAGAAACTGGACTTCTAATTCTTTCATTTCAACAAAACACAACAACAGTGCACTGTGCAAAATCAAGACAGTCTCCATTTGAAATGGATGTGAACGAATGTGTGTTAACATTCTTAAGAGTTTGCTCTTTTGGTTGATGCTCGTGTTATGTACTTTTCCAAACTATATGCTTTTCCAAACCCTGAACACAATATTATAGTTTAAGGACTATTGAGTTGAACATTCCAGTTGTTGATTCTACGTCCCCAGGCTTTATACTGGTGCTTGTGTCCCCTGTAGGCTACCAGCGTGAGGTGGACTCTCTCCTGGCGGTGAACAGACAGCAGTACAGGACAACGCTGAGTGAATCTGATAACCTGAACAGAGCCAGAGAGCTGTTACAGACCACTCTGGACCACTCTAGTTTGTTCCCACGAAGAGTGGCTAGCTCAGACAGATACCTCTTTGTTATGGTACTGCTGCCCTACTGCTACACACACACACACACACACACACACACACACACACACACACACACACACACACACACACACACACACACACACACACACACACACACACACACACACACCTATTTATGCAGGAGGGGGGAGTAATCACTTAATGGGGCAATAATGAAGGGAAAAATGTTCAAGCAAAGTTACTGATGTTTATCTGTTGTTTCTCTCTTCTCCCCCTCTCTTCTCCCCCTCTCTTCTCCTCTCTCCTCTCTTCTCCCCCTCTCCTCTCCTCTCTTCTCCCCCTCTCCTCTCTTCTCCTCTCCTCTCTTCTCCTCCCCTCTCTTCTCCTCCTCTCCTCTCTTCTCCCCTCTCCTCCTCTCCCCCCCTCCCTCTCCCCCCTCCCCTCTCCTCTCTTCTCCTCTCCTCCTTCTCCTCCTCTCCTTTCTTCTCCCCTCTCCTCTCTTCTCCCCTCTCCTCTCTTCTCCCCTCTCCTCTCTTCTCCTCCTTCTTCTTTTCCCCCCCTCTCCTTCTTTTCTCCCCTCTCCTCTTTCCCCCTCTCCTCTTTTCCCCTCTCTCCCCTCTCCCTCTCCCTCTTCTCCCCCTCCCCTCTTTCCCCTCTCTTCTCCTCTCTCCCCCCTCCCTCTCTTCTCCCCTTTCCTTTCCCCCTCTTTTCTCCTCTCTTCCCCCTCTCCTCTTTTCCCTTCCCTCTCCCCCTCTTCCCCTCCCTCTCTCTCTTCTCCTCCTCTCTTTCTTCCTCTCCTTTCCTTCTCCTCTGCTTCTCCTCCTCTCTTCTCTTCCTTTCCCTCTCTTCTCCCCCTCTTCCTCGTCTGTTCTCCCCTCTCCTCTCTTCCCCCTTACTCTTTCCCCTCTCTTCTCCCTCGATCCCTCCCCATCGTCCTTCGGATCTTCTCTCTCTCCTCTCTTCTCTTCCTTTCCTCTCTTTTCCTCCTCTCCTCTCTTTCCTGTCATCCTCTACCAGGATCGCTTGGTGTCTCTGGACAGTGCAGAGGATTTCATCAGACTGGCGAAGGAGAAATACCCAAAGAGAGAATGAGAGAAAGAGAGAGAGAAGCCGGAGAGAGAAGCCGGAGAGAGAAGCCGGAGAGAGAAGCCGGAGAGAGAGAAGACGGAGAGAGAGAACGGAGAGAGAGAACGGAGAGAGAGAAGACGGAGAGAGAGAAGACGGAGAGAGAGAAGACGGAGAGAGAGAAGACGGAGAGACAGAAGACGGAGAGACAGAAGACGGAGAGAGAGAAGACGGAGAGAGAGAAGACGGAGAGAGAAGACGGAGAGAGAAGACGGAGAGAGAAGACGGAGAGAGAGAAGACGGAGAGAGAAGATGGAGAGAGAAGACGGAGAGTGAATGAGAGAACTAGTGTTTTGGGATCCTCCTGCCGGCATTAGAAGGAATGTGAAGATGTCCCTTCATTTAGAGACTTTAACTGATTCTAACTGACCTCCTTTTCACCTTTTTATATTCTAATGCCTAATGTCCCTCCAAAGCCATTTTCTATACAAGTTGTTGTAGGTGTTTCTTAGTTCCGGGATTGTTATAGCAACGACAAACATTGCACAATTGTCTGTAATATTTAACAGTTGTATGCAGTCCGAAAGGATACTTTTGATACAGAATTTTTAACATTTTTATGGTCATCTGAAATATTAGACTTTAACAGAAACTAAACATTTAATTGATTAACTAAATTTGATTGTCTCTCGGATGTCTATCAATGTCACCAGAACAGACGTTCTTGTCTTGTACCTGCATTATCTGACCAGTAGAGGGCTCCATATGTCCTCATCCAGGCTGTAGGGAAGTAAGACCTCACCTCAGGTGCACAAAACTTTCACCTCATTGGAAATCCTATTGAGATTGAAGGACCTGTGCAAAATGGAAAGGATTTCACAATGGGACCTTGCTTAGTACTCAATCAACAGTTAGTATTTCCATCATACCTTCAAATACTTTGCTTTATCTTGGCCAGGTCGCAGTTGTAAATGAGAACCTGTTCTCAACTGGCTTACCTGGTTAAATAAAGGTGAAATAAAATAAAATAAAATAAAACTATTTGTTTTCTCTCAAAAACTTCAGCTGTGCCCGATCGAGTGGAACTAATGGAATAGGCCCCCCAAAGTGCAAACTCCACCAATCTGGCCCTCCAGGCAGGTTGAAGCAACCGCTCAAAGTATTTGAAAGAATTCGAATAGTATTTGTACCCAGGTTTGGTCCATGGATGGAGTCCTGATGTGAGCTGCTGGTCATAGGGACTTACATATAAGCCGTATCCCAAATGGCACCCTATTCCCTGCATAGTGCACTACTATTGACCAGAGCCCATAGGACCCTGATCAAAAGTAGTGTACTATATAGGGAACAGGGTGCCAAATGGGACGCAGACATAATTCTCTCCCAGACCTAGTTCTGACTGGGGGCTGGAAACAGATGTGGAGCTAAAAGAGGGGTGGAGAGGGGGCATGGGGGTTCATTAGAGAGGAATGGTGCTGCTGGCTCTTTCTCTCTTTCTCCCTAGCTTTCTCCCTCTCTCTCTCCTCTCTCTCTTCTCTCTCTCTCCTTCTCTCTCTCTCTCATCTCTCTCCTCTCTCTCTCCTCTCTCCCTAGCTTCTCGGGCCAATCTCTTTCTCTCTCTCTCGCTCATCCTCTCTCTGTCTATCTCTCTCGCACTAGCTTTACCCTCTATCGATCTCCCTAGCTTTCGATCCCTCTCTTTCTCCTCTCCTATCTCTTCTCTCCTATCTCTCTATCTGTCTCTGTTGTATCTCATGTCTCTATCTCTGTCTCTCTGTCTCTGTCTCTCTCTCTCTCTCTCTTCTGTCTCTATTCTCTCCTCTATCGTCTCTCTCTCTGTCTCTCTGTCGCTCGTCTGTTCTCTCTATCTCTCTGTCTCTTGCTCTCTCTCTCTTCTTCTCTATCTCTCTCTCTCTCTCCTTCTCTCTCTTCTCTCGTCTCTCTTCTCTCGTCCGTTCTCTCTTTTCTTTGTTCTCTCTTGCTTCTCTCTCTCTTCTCTCTCTTCTCTCTCTCTCTCTCTCTCTCTCTCTCTTCCTCTCTTCTTTCTCTTCTGTTTCTTTTCTCTCTTTTTCTCTCTGTTTCTCTCTCTCTCCTCTCTCTCTCTCTCTCTCTCTCTCTCTCTCTCCCCTCTGTCTCTCTGTCTCTCTGTTCCCTCTCTCTCTCTTTCTGTCTCTCTCTGTTTCCCCTTCCTTTTCTCCCCTCTCTCTCTTCTCTCTGTTCTCTGTCTGTCTCTCTCTTTCTCTCTGCCTCTCTCTCGCTCTGCCTCTCTTCGTTCTTTGTCTTCTCGTCTCTTTTCTCCTTTCTCTCTCTTTCTCTCTCTCTCTTTTCTCTCTTCTCTCCTCTCTCTCTCGCTCTCGCTCTCGCTCTCGCTCTCGCTCTCGCTCTCGCTCTCGCTCTCTCTCGCTCTCGCTCTTGCTCGCTCTCTCTCTCTTTCTCTCTCTCTCTGCCATGTATTGTGAAAGGCAGCAAAAGACTGTGTGTGTAGCAGGCTGCATCTTGTTCTCATTATGTGTGACAGCATAATGTTCAGATTCCCCCCAGAAAGAAAGTGCTGGAAACGTTTACCATGACTGAAAGAAAGAGGGAGCGAGCCCAATGTTTGTGTGTGTGTGTGTGTGTGTGTGTGTGTGTAATGACGACATGTAGCTCTGAACCTTTTCCATGAAAGGCGAGCTGCTCTCCAGAACCTCAGTAGACAGGAGACTGGAAATAGGAGGCTGCTCTCCAGAACCTCAGAAGACAGGGAATTAAGGGAAATATGAGCGCTACAGCCATTAGTCTGTTATTGAGTTTCATTATTAAACTGCTATGAGGACTTTCTCCTCTGACCTAGACTAGGGCCCCAGGCAGTGGGTGGCTGGCTGGCTTTCATTATTACAGAGCTATGATGAACTATGAGCTGACCTGTAGGGCCCCAGGCAGTGGCTTTTTTTGTTTTACTTTTATTTTACTAGTTTGTCCCATTGAGGTGAAAATACCTATTTTTCAAGGGAGACCTAGCCGCTGTCTGCTGGGGCAGCGGCTGGCTGCCTGTCTGATTGAATGGCTGTCTGCTGGGGCAGCGGCTGGCTGCCTGTCTGATTGAATGGCTGTCTGCTGGGGCAGCGGCTGGCTGCCTGTCTGATTGAATGGCTGTCTGCTGGGGAAGCGGCTGGCTGCCTGTCTGATTGAATGGCTGTCTGCTGGGGCAGTGGCTGCCTGTCTGATTGAATGGCTGTCTGCTGGGGCAGTGGCTGGCTGCCTGTCTGATTGAATGGCTGTCTGCTGGGGCAGTGGCTGGCTGCCTGTCTGATTGAATGGCTGTCTGCTGGGGCAGTGGCTGGCTGCCTGTCTGATTGAATGGCTGTCTGCTCGGGCAGTGGCTGGCTGCCTGTCTGATTGAATGGCTGTCTGCTGGGGCAGTGGCTGGCTGTCTGTCTGATTGAATGGCTGTCTGCTGAGGCAGTGGCTGGCTGTCTGTCTGATTGAATGGCTGTCTGCTGGGGCAGTGGCTGGCTGCCTGTCTGATTGAATGGCTGTCTGCTGGGGCAGTGGCTGGCTGCCTGTCTGATTGAATGGCTATCTATCTGCTGGGGCAGTGGCTGGCTGTCTGTCTGATTGAATGGCTGTCTGCTGGGGCAGCGGCTGGCTGCCTGTCTGATTGAATGGCTGTCTGCTGGGGCAGCGGCTGGCTGCCTGTCTGATTGAATGGCTGTCTGCTGGGGTAGTGGCTGGCTGTCTGTCTGATTGAATGGCTGTCTGCTGGGGCAGCGGCTGGCTGCCTGTCTGATTGAATGGCTGTCTGCTGGGGTAGTGGCTGGCTGCCTGTCTGATTGAATGGCTGTCTGCTGGGGCAGGGGTAGTGGCTGTCTTTCTTGCTGTTTGGCTGGATGACAGATGGCTGGCTTGATGGATGCATGACTGGATGGCTGGATATCTGGCTTCCCCAGCTGGGTGTATGACTGGATGGCTGGATATCTGGCTTCCCCAGCTGGATGTATGACTGGATGGCTGGATATCTGGCTTCCCCAGCTGGATGTATGACTGGATGGCTGGATATCTGGCTTCCCCAGCTGGATGTATGACTGGATGGCTGGATATATGGCTTCCCCAGCTGGATGTAGACTGGATGGCTGGATATCTGGCTTCCCCAGCTGGATGTATGACTGGATGGCTGGATATCTGGCTTCCCCAGCTGGATGTATGACTGGATGGCTGGATATCTGGCTTCCCCAGCTGGATGTATGACTGGATGGCTGGATATCTGGCTTCCCCAGCTGGATGTATGACTGGATGGCTGGATATCTGGCTTCCCCAGCTGGATGTATGACTGGATGGCTGGATATCTGGCTTCCCCAGCTGGATGTATGACTGGATGGCTGGATATCTGGCTTCCCCAGCTGGATGTATGACTGGATGGCTGGATATCTGGCTTCCCCAGCTGGATGTATGACTGGATGGCTGGATATCTGGCTTCCCCAGCTGGATGTATGACTGGATGGCTGGATATCTGGCTTCCCCAGCTGGATGTATGACTGGATGGCTGGATATCTGGCTTCCCCAGCTGGATGTATGACTGGATGGCTGGATATCTGGCTTCCCCAGCTGGATGTATGACTGGATGGCTGGATATCTGGCTTCCCCAGCTGGATGTATGACTGGATGGCTGGATATCTGGCTTCCCCAGCTGGATGGCTGTTTGCAGGCAGTTATATTTGCAGGGACCATGCGCAGCACATATAGATATACAGTGAACTCCAAAAGTATTGGGACGGTGATACATTGTCTGTTGTGAATAATGATGTGAGAAAATAACAGACGCACAAATATCAACATCAACATAATTACTGGTCAATTAATTTATCCATTTATAATTAGTATGTTTTGTTATCTGTTTTAACGAACCTTTTTTTATTTTTGTACTTATGTATATACATTGCCTTCGGAAAGTATTCAGACCCCTTGACTTTTTCCACATCATGTAACTTTACAGCCTTATTCTAAAATGGATTAAATAAAAAAACTATCCTCATCAATCTACACACAAT